CTTTAATCACATTTCATCTCTATTAATCATTAGTTGATAGTTATTTTTAGACTTTACAGTTTAGATTATTATTATTATTATTATTAATATTGGGGTTTTTTTGTATGATACCCAATTTTTAGTTTCTGTCGTTTATCTAAACTAAATTTTATTTCTATTTTGACAACTTTTTTTTCACACTAATCCATAATCACTTCTTTCCTGACTTGGTGTTTTTTTATTGATTGATCTCCCGCTTTTTTCCCTTTTTTTAATAGTTAAGCACTCAGTTTGGCAGGATGTTAATTTATATATATATATATATATATATATATATATATATATATATAGCACATTATTGTATCTAAGTGCCCAAATATAAAGTGGACATATCAAGATAATAAACTGTGTTATTATTATTTGGTGGTTACTGATTTATTTATATAATTCAGTTGAATGAATTAAATTGATTAGATTTATCTTATTCTGAAAATGTTATTCCAATCCTATTTATTATACATAAAGGTTTTATGGTTGAATTGAATGTTGGTTTATGAAATAAATTTAAACAAATTTTGTTCAATGTAGAATTTAGTGGATTGTTTGTCTGTTTGTTTTAATATGAAAATCCTTAGTATGGTGATATAAATTTTTGTAATAAAATATTTCTTTATTAATATTTATAAAGAAAAAAACTATTGAAATTTGATAATAGTTAGTTGTTATGTCATGATTATGAGAAAGCATTTAATAATATGGATATGAAATCATTATGGAAACTTACTTGACATTAGGATGTACTTGAAATGATTGTTAATATCATAAGGAATTTATACGACGGATTACACTGCAAAGTTATGAATGAACGACAGTTGACAGATGTATTTCAAGTAAAGACTGGAGTTAGAGAAGGCTGTCTACTCTCATCCTTTTTCTTTCTACTGGTGGTCAATTGGACTATGAAAACCTCGACATCTGAGAGGGAACACGGAATACAATGGACAACTCGGAATCAATTAGAAGATTCGAACTTCACAGATGACCTGGCCGTTCTATCCTATACACACAAAAAAATGCAGATGAAGACAACTAGTGTAGCAACAACCTCTGTATCCATAGGCCTCAACATACACGAGGGAAAAACTAAAATCCTCAAAGACAACACGGAGGATAGCAACCGAATCACACTTGATGGAGAAGCTCTGGAATGTGTAGAATTTTTCACGTACGCCGGAAGCATCATCGATGAACAAGGAAGATCCGATACAGACGTCAAGGTGAGGGTTGGCGAAGCAAGGGCCGCATTCCTACAATCGAAGAACATATGGAACTCAAAACAACTGTCAAGCAACACCAAAGTCACAATCTTCAATACGAATGTCAAGACGGTTCTATTGTATGGAACTAAAACTTTGAGAACTACCACAACCATCATCAAAGAAGTAAACGTATTTACAAACAATTATCTACGCAACATACTGAATGTTCGTTGACCTGACACCATCAGCAACTGTCTACTGTAGGAGAGAGCAAACCAGCATCCACTCATCCACCAACCATCCATACATTACAGAATCCTCCAAACTGCATCACGAGGCAAGCCCTAACTTGAAATCCTGAAGGGAAGCAGAAAAGAGGAAGGCCGAAGAACACATTATGTTGGGAATTAGAAGCAGACATGAGAAGGATGAATAGCAACTGGAATGAACTGGAAAGTATTGTCCAGGACAGAGTTGGATGGAGAATCCCGGTGGACGGCCTATGCTCTTCCACCAGGGGCAACAGGTGTAAATAAGTATGTCGTGATTTTAAGGTAACACAGAACTAGACAGTTATTGTGACCTAGTTTGAGATTCTTCAATTCTGTACACTAAAGATCTCATATGGGATCGGATCCAACGCCTTTCTTTTCTGATGAAATCATAATTTTTTTTATATAGTTGAGTCTAAGATTGATAGTTCACATTTCCAACTTTAAGTAACTTGTTATCGATCATCGTCACACTACTGAAAAGATTAAAATTCAACCGCTGAAACTGCTTAAATGAAATTATTTTATCGGTAACCATCGATTTCATTACCAATCTTTGAGTTATATCCAAAAGTATTTTTGATTATTGAGCGAGCCAATTTGACTTTAATTCTGTTAACGTATGTTGGTAGGTGTAAAATCTGTTGGTTTTGTAAAAAAATTTCCATGTTTTCTAATTTAATGCTGTTGTATTCTATCTGACTGTAAATATCCACCGGCTCTAGTAGGGTATGACCTCTGAAACCTATCAGTTTATTGCAAATATTTTCATATCTTAAACAAACCGTTAATTATTCAAATAAATAAACTAATAACATTGTATTTTGAAAATGCAATGGTTTTATGTTTTTGACAAGACTTACTTACTTATTTACTTACGCCTGTTACTCCTAATGGAGCATAGGCCGCCAACCAGCATTCTCCAACCTACTTACACATATTCATATGCATGTACAAATATGAATACAAATCTGTCAATGAGCAAGCTTTGTCAAACATAAAAATTTTTCATAAATTCTTATCAATATCTTTTAATTAATGCTTTTTAAATGTAAACCAAATTGTAGTCATTCCTATGACTTATACTTGTTTACACTAAACGACATAACGCCATTAATATTTTCTTGATACAAAAAAATTACTTTCAGGTTTCACTGAGTACAAGGACAAAATCAAAATTTGAACAAAACAGAAAACTAAACAGCTTTCTGATAATGTGTTTAGTAATTTTAATCATTTATTTCCCTCTCTCTCTTCTAATCGTCCTACACTGACGTTAAATTGTAGCTACCTAATACATAGATGATATAAATAACAATGGGCAGTATTGTTTGATCGTTTTACAAATGAATGCATGGACATTGTAAATTATTACTTCAGGGGACGAAAATAAAACTCCCGAAGATCTATAATGTTGGTTGAAATTCTTAGTTTACATCATGAAATGGTTTCTGTTAGACAACTATTGAAAACCAAAAAGAATTTGGTAGCTATTTCATCTTGGTATGACACTCTTTGGAAGAAGGCATTCAAGAATCTTTCGTTGATTGAAACTAGGACCATCAGGTCTCATGGAAAAAGCTTAACTTTGGGAATTTTGAGCCATTTATTGTCAATTTTGAACTGATTGATGAAATCGCGCATCTTAAGAATTAAGATCAATCTATGGTGTTGTTGATGGTGCTATAAATTTAAATACAACACAAAATAAAACATGCACGTTTTTAGGTTTAATGCTGAGTTAACAGTCAAACTGGAAATAAATTGGCATATTTAACTGTATGATATCGTTATTAAATTACTTGCACTCGATGCAAATAATTCTGTGAAGCAATTCAGTCGTAAATATTTTCATCGTATTTTTCAGCTTTAAATATACAAACTGTCATTCTACCTGATTCATAACAGGTTTCCTTAATTTAGTTTGTAATTTATTGAATTATCCCATAATTGAAATTCTTGACTGAATTTAGGTCATTCTTACAATTGAATGATCACTGTATAGTGACCAATGTCATATGTGTCATGTTCTGCTTAATACAGATCAATTTTAAATTCTCTGACTGTGAAGCGTGGTGACATGTTATTGAATCCATTAGGGGGGCATCAGTTTCCACAAGATTACATGCATAGATTGCTGACGAGTGATAAATAACACGAAACTCAGGGTTCCTTGTCGACAACCTCCGACCACCACATCAGATTAGTCGTAGTTGATAATATATGTATCCTTCGCTGATTGTCTCATTATAGCCAATTTTCAGAATAGCCAGCAGCTTATAAGTCCCGAATAGAAAAGAAAAAAACATTTCGGATTCCACTAATAACCACATTTCATCTATTGTACTAAGTGAGTTGTCAAATTTAGCGTTTAGTCAAATATAAAAGACGACTATATTTTGTTTGTTTGTTGTTTCTGTTTAATTTTATCTTACCATTATTTTAGTCACTATTCACTAGATATTCTTCTTTCTTTGTGAGTTAAGTGTTCCTCCAGTAAACTCAAAGTAGAAATCTCTTATGAATTTTATGTTTAGGTTTTATGATCTAAAATATTTGTCATTACGTATAGTTGAAGGACTTCGAAATTCATATTTCATAGAATGGATTGAAAAATATTCTCCTCAAGTCGAAAAGTGCTCAGTACATTGAATCAGTTGCTTATTTAAGTTTCATACTAGTTGTTTACTGCGTTTACTGTGGCTAGTCAAACAAACCACTAGTTTGATCATCATTTTTTGTGTGTTATCGTGGGTGAAAATATTTTACAGAAATTCGAGGTGCCATACTTAAACAATAAAACTCAGCTTGACAACTGATTTGTAATGACATATATCGAGAGGTCAACAGATGCCGTAAAAAACAAAACACGTCACATGTATTCACACAGAACCTTGCTCGAATATAGACAAACATAAAAAAGAAAATGGTCTAGAGTTTGAGCGTTCGCATGCAAGACTGATAAATCCTGGGTTCAGATCCCGCGGGGACAAAACGATCGTTTAGAGTTTTCAAGTTTTCCAAAATGGTCAAGCTTCAATTGTCTCATCATCTCAACTATTAAAGATATAACTCTTGTTATGGTCATTTAAAATGCTTTATAATGAAAACACTATATCTGTATATCGATAATTACAAACTAATCGTAGCCTTATAAGAAGCACAACTTATTAACAATGAGTACAGTGATGATTAACTTAATTAAGCCAGAAGATTAGTAAAATATTGATTATACTACTGAGTTGTTGTATATAATTTAAGATAGAGATATTTATCAACATGAGTAGTGATACATTTCATTTTAAAAATGTATGAAAGATATAGATTATAAGATTCAAGTCGGATTATAATATATTCCAAATCAACTATCTGCTAGTCTCCATATTATCAATAACAAATACTTTTATTATCATTTAATCAAATTACTAAGTACGAACAATATGATTATTATAAATTTACATTACATAACAGTAGAATAGCAAAATGACTACCAGAGATTAATCAAACAATCGAAGATTTGAATATAAAGAAAGAAAATCATCCAGTACGAATTGTATATTCATAATTTGAAATATTCCCATATTCACATGTTCATTACAATAGTTTGATAGTAATAATATAGTATATGATATATATATTCCTATATGGTTTACCTAAAGTTCACAAGACAGGTCTACCTCTTCGCCCAGTTCTAGATATGTATAATTCACCTTATCATAAAACTGCAAAGTGTTTAGTTCGAATTTTAAATTCCTTATACAAATTAGTCATCAACAGAAGCGTGAAAGATGTCTTTGATTTTATTTCTAAAATGGAAGATATGAACTTAAATGGGAACTAGATGACATCTTTAGATGTTGCTTCCCTATTCACCAATATTCATAATTTTCAAATGAAACAATGACAAACAAGCAAACAAAGAAAAAGTTACTCATTTTTTTCTAATAATAATTCAATATAAAATAAAAATTATGTAAATTATTTAATTCTTTCATTCATGATACTGTTTTTTTGTTTAAAATCAAATGATATACATATATATTACTCCTACAAAATGAAAAAAACGTACATTGTACATTGAATATAACCATTTGTTTAAATGTGCAAAACAAAAACAAAAAAATAGATCAAAAATATTGTTTTTTTAAATGAACTACTGAATTTTTAATGAATAGAATAAATAGTTATTTTAAAAAATACATGTAATATCCAATATATTACACTTGATAACAATAATAATAATGATAATTACATTCAGACATTTTGTTAATTATAACAATAACGATAGCAACAACAACAACAACAACAAGAACAACAATAAAAACAAATTGCGAAAACAGAGGCACAAAAAAAAAACGGTATGAAATGTTTTCAATTACATGAATTGCAGGTTTCATTCTCTATTGGAACCAATCTTGTTTTCATAAGAATATTTGGGTTTTTTTTAATAATAATTAGCTGGTTTTACAAAATTTAATCGTTTGTTGTTTATTTGTTTGTCTACTTTTTTTCAATATGACAATGAATATCGAATTACATTTAAACAATCAAACATGAATGAATGAAATTGTATTTTGTATTAGAAATTAATCAACAAGTATTTGAAATACAATAGAACCTTCATTTGAATGAATATTAACATGAATATTTTTAGCTAATGCATAACATTTTATCCATATAATAACATGACGTTTAGGATTAAGAAAATGTACAAATACTAATGGTGATTGATAACCAGCTTGATTTAAATAAGGATAAAACATTGAATCATAAATACCATAATTTTTATAACACCAATCTATATCATTATTTAATGAATGATATTGTTTTAATGAATCACTATCATAATAACATATTTTACCTAAATAATCTGAATCAAGTTTAGTTAAACCTTCACATTTAAGTAAAATATTAGTATAATTATTTAATGGTATTGGTAACCAACCATAAATTCGATTTAATTTAATAATAAAACATGGTTTACCTTCATAATAACCATAACCATTTTTTAAATTACATGGACCACTTGAATCTAAATTAAAACGACATGGACGTCTCATATTTAATAATTTTGGATTAATTTCACATGATTCAAACATACCACCAATAATATGATATTGATAATAAGATAAAAATCCAGTCATTTCATCTATCATAGATGAATAAGATACAGGATTTGATGTATAAAAATGTATAAGACTTGTTAAACGATTTGAATTTGGTATTATAGATAAACCTGGATTCAATTTTAATTGATTATGTAATCCGGTTAATTTAGGATAATCAGCTAAGATTGTAAAATAAAATAAACTATACATATAAATAATAAATAAAATACAAATAATGACATAGAAACTAATGTAATAAATTAATTTAATTAAATATTTTCTCCATTGAATTGTATTATAAATAAAATGAATATGATTACGTAACTTCTGTAGAATAAAACATTTAGAGAAACATTGTTTTAACAATGAGTTCTTTCTTGCTTTATATTTTCTTATGGGAATATTGTTACCTTCAATTAACAGACTATCTTCATATATTTTATCACTAAGCATATTCATGACAATAGTTTGATAATAATAATAAATGAATGAATGAATAGTTCTATTATATGTATATAGTATATGATAGATGTTTACTTATTTTGTGTTTCTTTATGGGAATCTGTTTACAAAAATGATATAACAAACAGCATATATATTTAGTTTATTGTGTTTATGAATTGTAGAATTGTAAACATTTCTCAATATATTAGGTATGTTTACAAAGGGTTTTTGTGGAGATAGATATGTCTTCTATTTTGCATCTTTATTTTTATGTTCAATCTATAATGTTATGTTGTAAATTTGTGTATGTATATGAGTAACCAAAAAAAATAATGATCGATGTGTGTAGAGAGAGAGAGAAAGAGAAAGAGATAGATAGAGACAGGGAGACAAAAATTTGTAGCCTGGACACTTTTTGTAAGGACGTAAATTTGTTTTGTTTTGTTTTTCAAAAAATAAATGAAATAGATAAGCTAAACAAAATTGGAGTTTTTATTATTATTTTTTTAAAGTAATCTATATGTTGGAATATATACACTGGTTTATCAGTAATCTAGTGTGAATGGTTGTTTATCGGTTCACTATAATTCTTAAACTGTAACTACAAATATATGTTAAGAGAATACATTACGGTAGTTACTACGTCTCAACTGGTCAACTTAAAGAACTAGTTAGTTTTATTTCTCAAGTTTTTTTAAATTTATCTGAACACATATGCATCACACAATAACAATGAGGCCTGTAGTAGTTTTTTTTATTTGGGCGAGAAATGTGATACTGTCCGGGCGATCAAACTGAAGCAGATGGTTCTCTTAGAGGGGCACACCCGGAGCCTTTGACCTGAAGATCTAATTGATGAGGCAGTGGAACAATGTCAGAAGATGTTGTCCCACGGTAGCTGGTGAACAACAATAGGTTCATACGCCATCTGTTCCCTCAAGATCCTGGAACCCATATCCGCCATTAGTTTGGAATCGGGATTTTCCAACTCTCCAAGGTAGACACTCCATATTCACCAACCTTGTTAGAACGTAGGACATTCGCTCTAAGTCCTTTCAATTTTGTAAACAACACCCTCACCGCGAGAAGGTAGTGAGTAGGACTGCCCTGTCAGTAGCTGTATGAGCGTATTCATGTGACAGTATTTTAAGAGGGAGAGAGGACTCTTCCCATCATCTGCCGTACCAGAGCATTTCCCAAGTACCAGAAGAGTTGACAGAAAGTTTCTATAATGTTTCAAATGGGGTTACAGAACTAAGTTTCGATGAAGAAATAATTCGACTAAGTAAAACCCCAGGATCTAGAAAAGACATATATATATAGCATTGCTTGTTTCTTGTCACTGTTTTCAACTTCACTGACTGCATTCTCGACAAAATAATGAAAGAGTAGTGTAGCAGCCTCCTAATCATCCGAAATTCAGTCATTTAGACACCCATATCTTATTTACTGACACATTTTATCTGTGTAAATATTTGTTTAACTTCCAGGTTCCCTCAGTTTTTTTTATTATAGACCCTAATATAATGAAAAATTTTCAAATAATTGACTGAATGAGATTAGTTAAGCTACTTATATAATCGACTGATAAATAGTTTTACATAGAAAAGAAATTCAGTTTCAAGCATTTCCTTGTTATGCTGTTTTTAATAAGTTTGTGAGTGAGAATTCCCTTTGAGTGTATTTATGTACCTCTATGAAAACCGTCAAAACATTCACAATCCACTGGAATTAAAAGTATTGACTGCTTGTATATAAATGTATAGCGTTGTGCTCATTGTGAGATGTAAAGGTCATGGATCCATCCCTGCATTAAAGTTATAATAACAATTCACATTTAGACCTAATCTAATCCTTCGATGTTTTCAACCATTCTCAAAATAACGTTAATCAGTTATTAATTCTACTTTCAGAAAATACATTTGTTTTAAACATAAACTATTATTCACAGTGTTTGAATGTTATATCATGTACCTATTGAATAAAGATTACTATGATTTAATAAAGTATTATATTCACTGACAAAACATTTAGCTTTTAAATGTATTATGAAAATAGAGAAACTCTTTAAACAATCATCTAAAATTGACAAAACATAATCAGACATAGATTTCAATTTTCGTAATACTACAGAATTACAAGGAAAGATAAAATACACTTATCAAATTAGTATAAATTATTACAATTTTGTAATTATATCTAGAATGAAAACACTTTCACATAGATATTGGTAGTTAGAAACAAAAGCAAATCATTGAATTTCCGTAGTCTAAAGTATAATAATAAAAATAATAGGGAATGACGTTAACAGTTTATTTATCAGCTATATGAAGTAATAGTGTGGTACGTGCTACTTATATTGATATAAGTAGTATATGACGCGAGTTAGAAACGTAATGACTGGCAGCAGAAGATGGGAGAAGATCAAGAAAGGAAGAGCGGGAGCACAATTCATGAACAATGAAATGTGAGACAATGGACTGATGTTTGCAACAGGAACAGTTCGGTTTGATATGATGGATTAATATTTTTCAAATTAACGATTTACTATAGTGTTTTTCTATTTTACCAACTAACTCTGTAATTTTGTGCAAGATATATTCGGTTGTCCCCATTGGTGTTTTTGTTCACTACAATAATGGATAAAGTGTAATCCTTAACATAACAAATATCAGTAATAATATAAATAAATAAATGAGAAAAACACTAAAAGCTTATCAGCTACATATTTGGCTTTCTCTTATGTGATTGAAACGACTTTTTTTCTGAATATTATCAGACAAATATATTTTCATTGAATAACTAACTAAGTAACTAACTAATATGCTAATTCATAGTTGTTATTAGTCCCTATTTTAACAAGCAAAACAAAACGTTTTTTTATTAGGTAATATAAAATGAAAGATGAAGTTTACTTATTTGTACTTTAAATAATCATTTAATATATGAAGATAGTTTGTTTTTTTACCACTTGTGAATATCAGTGAAAGAAAACTAACAAAATGAAAACGGTGATGAAGTTTTATTCTCTGAGTTGAAGGGTTTGATCTTGGAGCTTTTATTGTTCTTTTGAATAATATCATCAGCATAAATTTCAGATAGAAGTGAAGTAGTTGAATTTCTCCACATATAGCTCACAGCTTGTTTTGTAGTCCTTGATATTGATTGGTTCTTAGTGTTGGGATTAATCAAAAATGTAAACCTATACAATAAAGAATCAAGGATTATTAGTATTTACGCAGTGCAGCCTATATGAAAGTACTTAATGTTTGATATATATTACATTTTCAGTGAATCTATTTGTATAATACAATTTATCAGACTAGATTAAATTTAAATGATGCAGTATATAATTGGTTAACATTGATAAAACATAAAATAAATGCTAATCCTTTCTGTATTAAATTCACTTAGTGTTGTTTATTTGTATCTTCCCATTGTTGTTTAGGACTGAAGTTGACTAGTCTCTTGTTGGCGTATGTGCATACTGTGCGAACTGCCTCGATATTGCTTTACGTCGTAAGCTTTATAAGCAGAGATGGATAGAGTATAGCAGTGGAATCCCGAACGCGCGTTTCGTCCTATTTGGTACTAGTCATCTGGATGTATCTGCATCTCAGAGAGTTGATGTTCACTCTGAGACTCATTACATAAGCAGGTGGCTATCAGGACTCATTAGCTAAATGGATAACGCGATGGAGTTTGAAGCTTGCAGTACTGTGTCCGAGTCGCAAAGTGAACATCAACTCTGAGATGCAGGTACATCCAGGTGACGAGTTCCAAATAGAACGAAATGCATGTCCTGGATTCCACTGCTATCCACCATCCATCTTTGCTTATAAAGCTTACGACGTAAAGCAATATCGAGGCAGTTCGCACAGTATGCACATACGCCAACAAGATTCCACTGCTATCCACCATCCATCTTTGCTTATAAACCTTTAAATATTAGTTAATAAATAGATCAAGTGAATTTTCAGAATAATTATTAAGAATATTGACTGAATAATTGATAAAAATAACCAGGAGTCAGAAATCTACCGTCCATGTAAAACGTAGAATATATAATGTAAACATTTTTAACTGAATAAGAATTTCTTAAAAGTCTATGCTTATAGAGAAAAATGATGGTTTACACGTATTGATCATACTATTTTGTACATTAAATATTGTTAATTGAAGAAATATTATGCGACTGAAGAGAGTTGTAGAAAGCCCTGGAATTGAAAGGTTTCTATATGCATTTCTTAAGGAAATGTTAATCTTGGAAAGAAACTCAAACATATTCTATCAACTATAATAGATTAATGTGTTACCATCATTCTACTTAAGTTATGAATAATACCTTGTAGAAATAGTTTATCGGCGAGTCATAATTACTGTCATGTTCTTTAATCTTTAGTGATCTTATAATTCTAACTAATATATTACCATGTGACTACCATATTAAGCGAATCAATTTCATGATACCTTTTACTTACTGTTACATGTTTGAATGCCCTGGAATCAAGTTTCATTGTTGTTGGCACTCTTTACAGAGTTGGTTTATAAAATATTAGAAATTAAATAAAACATTTTAGCTTCTTGAAACGAAGATAATGAATTTTAGTCAAAACATTTGAAGTGTTTATATGCTTCAAATATACGAATAGATAATTATATACATGTAGGATATTAGTTCAAACCGATCCAATTTATAAATTCTGCCCATTCGATTTCTTATATTAATCAAGGTCAATCCATTAACAAATTGTTCTTTTGAAAAT